GAAGAAAACTACTCGGATTGACACATGCGTGTTTGTAGTAATTCTAGCACTCAGTTCGCAAATAGTGTAAACCGTTTGGAGGTGGTTGGATTCTTTTGTTTTCCCTTCAAGGATTACCAAAAAGGGTCCCTTTATTTTGACATCAGTTCGCATGTTGTCCCATGCTAGCCCCCTAGCTCATTCACATTCCTTGGAAGTCCAGATTCACTTGCCACGAAATACGTAGGTCTCAGAATAGGGGTACCCCTGGCCTTGGAAACCATGGGGATTGAATCAAGTACGATGGGTCTCTAAGCAGCTATAATCAAACATACGTGAGACAAGTACCAAGCATTGAAATGGGAAATTGCAGGTAGCTGAATTGCACGAGGTTTTTGAATCCACATGTGTTGTGATTGGTACCATGGAAGACTTCATTGATCCAAAGAATAGGTCGCGCTACTACGGGTCCGTGATTTGTGTCCCTACTAGGAGCCACCATTTTTTTATGGGGAACCACCATTGCTGTAAGCATTCGATAACATTTTGAAGGAAGTTGATCACCTCTGGTCGGTGCTTTTTTTGTGGTTTCGCTCTACTGCCACAAAGAAGTTTGTCAGAATACAAAGTCTCCTGTGTGGTTGGTTTTTTGAAAAACGAGGCTCCCGACATCGGGAATTTTGCAGGGCACCTTGCTGTCAACGTTGGCTTACCTCATGTTGAAATGACTGATTTTTGAAAATGCTCGACCTGCTCAAAGCCTCACATCAGGCATGAGTCAACTGGCATACTTCAACAGCATCACAAAAACACCGCACAGCACACACACACACACACACGCACACGCAAGGTCTACCTAAAGGCTCATCGCCACACACATCACATCACAGCACACGCGCAGCCTCGCAAGTTTTGTTTGGTTCTGCTTTTGCTGGGTGCGGCTTTTCTGCCCGCCTGGCAACTTGCTTGGCGCGGCTTTTCTGCCCGCCTGGCAACTGCAGTAGCCTAGGCGCGGCTTTTCTGCCCGCCTGGCGTCGCCATGGCTGCGCCGAATCCGGCATTTGTGTTGCTGGCAGACCTTCTGCGAGACTCGGTGTCCGACCTGCCTTCTTGGATTGGCTTTTACGCCGGTGGCAAAACGGACGTTTGCCACCCGAGATGGGACTCGGATTTTGACGGGGCCAAGGCCGATCGGGATGGCTTGACCGAGGCTTTAGCTTCCACTACAGTGGTGGTGCCGGCGTTGCTGCTCTGGCTTGATGACTTCATGACTGCACACAGGGTGCACAGCTGCTGGAAGCACACGCTGGACGGTGGCTGTCTCTGGCATCAGTTCGAGCAGGGTGGCGACAATTATTTGTTCAACGCCATGTGGGCCTTGACTTTGACTGTGGTGTGCTGGCTGCGCCACGTGTGCAAAGGCAAGAAAGTGCCACAGGTCCGGCTGATTTGTCTTTGCAATGCTGGCAAGCATCGCAGCGTGTTCTCTTCGCGGATGCTATACTTTGTGCTCCAGCTTCTTTACGACCTGCTGGGGATCCAGCAGCGAAGGTTTACTTGGCAGTGGGCCGCGGAGCGGCGAGTGCAAGCGGAGCTGAGCGAAGCAGCTCAATGCCGCGACAACAAGGCGGCGAAAGTCTGCTTCCGACAGGCGGACCTGGTGGTGTCGCGCACCCGACGGATGTTCCTTGGCGGCCGAGTTCCGGCGCACTTGCACAGCGTGCAGCTGTTGGACAAGGACCTTCGAGAGACGTCCACGACTGTATCCGCTGGCTACAGCGATATTTGCCTCGACACGCGCAAGTTCATCCAAGCGGCTGCCGCCGAGCGCGGCACGCCCCTCAGAAAAGCTTGGCTGGCAGACTGGCTGGAAGGCGCCGGCCTCGCTGCCCTTACCGCTCAAGGCCGCGCTGTACTTCAGCAAGCTTCCCGCGTGCGTATGGCCCGCCACTGGTGCCCTATCATGCGCGCTCTGCAGCAAGCTTTCCCGGAGCGCTGTGGCTTGTGCGCCTGTCCCTTTCAGCTCAGCACGCCTTGGGACACGCTTGCAGCGGAAATACACGAGCACTTCATTTCTACTGGGGATGGTGCGTCTTTTCTGACCACCTCCCCGGAAGCAGCGTCTGTTGCGGCTTTTTTGAACGCTTCCCCAAGAGCAGCCTCTGGCAGTGGTGCGGCTTTTCTGCCCGCCGCTGCCGGGGAAGGTGCGTCTTTTCTGACCGCCTCCCCGAAAGCAGCCACGACTCGCAGACCTGCGTGGGCTGACGTGCAGGACGACTCTGCCCACGCCGCGGCTGCGCCCAGCGCCAAGAAAAAGAAAAGGGTGTCCTTCGCGCCAGAGGTGGCCCAATCTGCCGCGGCCGACGTGGAGGACACCGCGCTGTGCTTGGTGCTGCCTTGCGATGCCCCACTAGGCGTGCTCTTTCAGCCAGGTGCGCAGACGCTGTCTCGGCGCGGGGTGGACTGCTTGCTTGACGTTACTTCGGACGCGACCTTGCTTTCGTTCCGGGTCATACAGAGCGCGGAGGACGCTCAAGGCTTGATTGCCTACGCTAGCGAGTTGCTGGCATCTAGTCGGGAGTTGCAGCAAGAGCTTGCAGCGCTGCAGCGTATGCTTGTTGCCGCGGAGGTTTTTCCGGAGTTGCCTCTTGGTGGTATGCCGGCCATGGCGCTCTTCCAGTGTCTGGTCTTCCTTTACATGTGGTCGGTGCTCACCTTGAATTATTCATTTTTGCTGTCCAGCACCTTCTTAAGACTGGTGGCTTTGCCGCTGCAGGAGGCGAAAAATTTTGATATCTTGGCCGTGGTGCACAAGTACTGCTACGTCACGTGGCTCCACCGGACGGCGCGTCCGAGCTGCTGGCAAGGCAACGCTCTCCGCTTATTGCTGCCAGACACTGCCGACTGGGAGGCTTGGTGGGCGGCGCAGCAGGACGTGGCGCACGAAATTGATGAGACTGCCTTCTCGGAAGAGTACGCGCTTATGTGCAGGGATCCTTTGATCCCCGAGGGCTACCGGGCAGACTTGAAGCAGGTGCGGCGCCATGTGGCTGCTTCCGATCTCGGCTTGCTGCCGGAGCTTCCGCCGCGGCAGTCCTTTATGGAGCACGATGTTTACTTGGAGGCAAGCGGCGCTTTGCCCTTGCCGAGAGCCTTGCCGGCCATTCGATGCTCGGCCGGGGCGATGGAGGTGAACTGGGGCGACAACACTGGTGAGCCCCTAAACACTTCGCGGGACAATGTGATCTCCGAGACGGATGTCTGCTTGCAAGTCCCGTTGCCGGTGCCTGCAGATATGACTTTGGGGCACGTCCTGCTTTCAAGGGACTGGCGAGCCTCTTTCGAGCAATCCAATCTCGGCATGCCTTGGTGGATGTCAGACGCAGGCGGCTTTTCTGCCCCTGCTGCTGGCCACGCAGGCGGCTTTTCTGCCCCTGTCTCAGCCCTTGGAGCGCAAATCCACTTGCAAGCTTTGGGAGCTGAAATCATGGCCACGCTGAGGCCCGACAGTGTGATGCATCCACACTTGCGAGCACACGTGGAGCTCATGCTGGGCATGTGTGCTTCCGTGCACTTGGCGCGCCAGGAGGCTTGGGATGTTGCCTTGTATGACTTTCTTTTAGGCTGCGGCATCAGAGCGCAGCGCACGCGTCCTGGCGATGCCGATGCCGGCTGGGTGGCGCATAACTACCGCAAGAGGCACCACGCTGCCCGCTCTGTGGTGCGACCCGTTTGCTGCACCATGTGGGGTGAAAAGTATCGCCCCATTGGATACTTAAACGATGCGGGGGACATCGAGCACTACTTGGTGCACGACACATGCCCTCTTGGAAGATGTCGCAGGCACAAGCAGCTTATGGGCTTTGGCACCGTGTGCCCACACTGGCATGGCTTCAACAAAAAACACGGCATCATGGCCACTCTGAACGCGCAGCGATACTTGAGGTACACGGAGATCGGAAGCAAAGGGGCTGACCCGCGCGCGCGAGACCAGCGGGCCAGCCAGTATCTTCGCACGCTTTTGCAGGAGTTAGGCTTTGTGGCCCGTGCGGACGAAAGAGCAGCAGACGGCGATGACCGCGTGATGCTCATAGGCCTTCCCCGCTGGCTCCCTGAGTTTCACAGCAACGAAGGCCAAGACATACCCGGCTTGGTTGCCTTTACTCCGCTGCACGCCAAAAAACACTTCGAGCAAAATGACATTGACGAGTGTCTCCAGCTTCGCACCGCGGCGCAAGAGGTGCACGATGACCTTGAACGCTTGACAAGACAGCGCTGAATGCGCTTGAGATGCGCCAGGGTGCGTCTTTTCTGACCGCCCGGCGCTTGCCAGGCCGTGTGCCTTGCAGTGTGCCTTGCCTGGCAGCATGCGTCTTTTCTGACCGTGCTGCCTTGAACAGAGACAAAGTGAATCTGCCCGCATAAAAAGGAAAAAGAGCCGGTGGGACAACGGGCGGGCGGATGGTAACAAAGGGTAAATGATGGAGGCTTAAGACTTGTCAAACATTTGCGGTCAGGCAGGCTCCCTGTCAGCCAGGTTTTCTTTCCAGTTTTTGTCCGAGCGGTGGAATAGTTGCCTGTGAAGACATGACCTGTTGATTTCTTTTGTGACCGTTTGGCCATGTTCGTCACAAACAAAACATGATTGGTTTTCAATTTGGCCCCAAACATGTTTGCCCTGGTTGTTCAAGCCTCCTATAGTGGTTCTTTTTTAGAAACTTCCGCCACCGCCTTGCGCGGTACTACTTGTAAGTTATGCTTGGAATTGCGCCAGCAGACAGTGTCATTCAGGACCTCAGCATGCCGTGGCGTTTTCTGACAGCCCAAGCGCTGCAATCACTCCGTTTTGAGGATACCAGTCATGCCGACAGAATGCAGGAATGGCAAGCACACTTTCCAAAAGCACGGGTTTTGCTGTGGGAAGTGCAAACATGGAGAAGGGCACGGCATGCTCTGTCAACGCAGAGTAAACAAGTGCAAGCGTGAGGGCTGCAATTTTCTCGAGCACAGCGTGCTGCCGC